CCAAAACCACATTCATATTGACCTTGTGAGGCGACCTCTCACGAGAGCGATTAGCTAGCCATCCATAAGGCAAATCTCAGAGAGTGCAAGTGTAATTTACCCTTTTAAATAATTTTGCTAATCCCAAATACGTCCTTATTTTTATAAAAGACAAAATCTATTCAAAATGATATGATGGTAAATTCATTAAAACATGATTACTTCCATTTCCTTTATTAATTAACCAAACATTGACACGATCATCTCCTCTCTTTTTTTCCTTAACTAATGTCATCTCTCTCTCTTTTTTTTTTTTTTTTTTTTTAATGGTAACTGTAGGTATGTTTGGTGGCTCAAAGAAGCATTGGACAAGCTTGGCTCAATTTTTCTATAACACGCTTCTCTCATAACTTAAAATTTTGTTCAGTCACTTCTTTCACAATTGTTTTTGAAAATGAATTAAAAAAAAATATATGTAATTTGAGAGGACATGCATTCTCTTGTATTTCTCTTAAAACTGTTTTTATTTTTAAAATTATCAAAAACTGATAGAAGAAAATAAAACCAAAACAAGCCTCTCTTTGTATGAAAAGACCTGACACCTGACAAAGCAGCTATTCTTTTTGAACAATTATAAGATTTCAATACGAAAAAATAAGTATTCCGAGAGTCGAACACATCTCACTTTTTTATATGAGTGAGGGATGAAGTCATCGTATTTGTATGAGTGAGACACATTCAACTTTCATTTTTTAGGATGATATCATTTTCTACTTGTAAGCAAAATTAATAGTCTAACATTAATTTCACCCAAATCAATAACTATTCATATATTTAATAGGGGTTGCACCATATTTAATTGATATGCATTACATCATATCAATTCCTAAAGTGTCTCATGAATAGTCACATATGAAGTGGTGTATTGGTTGATGGAACCAACATAACTCTTCATATATAATGGAATGGTCCCAACCCTCGTCTATATATATGTGTTAAAATTTTGAAATCTATCATCCTGTACGCAGAGAAAAGATTAGAGGGTTGAAGGTCGTCTCCAATTAGAATATGTCCAGAACGTTATAATTTATCTTAAATAGAGTTTCGTATCGGGTATGTCTCCTAATTGAATTTATGCATTTAGATCCATGAGTTAAATTGTATAAGATATTTCTTACACGTGGTATCAGAGCCTACATAAACTCTAATGCATTATGAAATTTCTCTGCAATATATATATATATATATATAGACATGTATCACGCTATATATAATATACATGCATATGCATGTACTGAAATATGATATATATATAAACCATTCTTTAGAAGAATGTTCTAACGTGAATGTGTTGGACAACAACGTGAATGTCATTAATATTTATGAGACAATAATATTTTTGGGTGTTCTTAGCACACCAACGTTTTGGTTTCTGGTGTTTATATCCGCCAAAATGAATATTTCTTATTCGTTAATATTTCATGTGAAGGGTTGCCTGTTAATCACATGCAGAGTCATATATGATTGTTTATGACAGTTGTAGGCTGTTAATCACATTTAACGTATCATCATTGCATGTTTTCTGTTTGGGTTACAAATGTTCTGAAAAGTCATAACTTTTGGGGTTCAAATTACTAGTCGTGTCTTTTGGATTTGAACCAACAGACATGTCTTTTGGATTTGAACTAGCAACCATGTCTTTTTGGATTTGAACCAACAGAATCAGAGTCATGCTAGGTAGGCTTTGTGATCAATACACCAAGAGTTATGCGCGTGGTATTCTAGAGATGTTTGACTATAAACTCAATTGGAGTGTGCATGACAACACCAACATGCAGTTAATATGCGGATTGTGAAGGGTTATATGTTTCAACATACCATTACATGTTTTAGTTTGGGTTACTAACGTTGATTCGGTATATATATACATGTATATCATGTCTTTTGAGTTGCAATCAATAGTCATGTCTTTTAGGATTAAACCAATAGACATGTCTTTTGAATTTAAACCAATAGTCATGTCTCTCCACCCAGAGTCATGCATCCATCCTTACTTACTCTATCAATAAGGGTCGCTTATTTAATATTTTAATTGGTGAATTTTTTATTGTATAACATGTGTAAATTTTGAAAATTTTGGATCTTATTTTATCCCTTAAATATTAATTTTCATAAATATACCATTTTTTTTAAGTTATCATCACTGGTTGAATGTTTTATATATTTGATGATATACATGGCATAGTCGATTAATTTAAAGTTTCATAGCATATAAGTTTATGAAATTATACATGTTATTGAAATTATATACATAATTATGCATGTGTCTCATGTTATAAATTGTTGCATAATATGTATATGTATATGTCTTGATTCATTCGGGAAAATTAAATTATATTTTGCAATTCTAGGCACAAGTGTCATTTTGTTTGATTAAGTGTTTAGTCACCAAAGTGGCACTCATGAAAATTTTAATGATATTTGTAACTAGTGGCAAAATTATTATTTTGTTAAAGTTAAAGGATTGTGTTGGCGTTTAGTAAAGATGATCAATGATCAAGCCCAAATGTGGGTCATTGAATTTGTCCAACTAAGCGGATTGAGGTAATTAGTGTAGAAGACACAACTGATGACTCACTACGCCCAAAGGAGTATAAGTTGTTATTGTATTTTCTATGATTAATTAGCTTCAAAGGTGAAAGTTATTTCACCAGTGGGAGACTAATATACGATAATTTTAACCCAAAGAAAAGATTATTATATATTATATTGATCCCATTCAGAGTTAATTAATTTGAGACATTATTTAATTAACTCTAGAAAGTTTAGTTGATATTCCCATCAATTAAATGTAAATGTGTGGCCTTAGTTATTCTCAAAGTCAGTGAGAATAAAATTCATCTTTATTGTTAACTGTAGATGATACTGACATTATTGTACATGAGATTAAACAATTTAACTTCTCAAACATTTGAGATTAAGGTGTTGGTGACGCCTTTTTATTGGTATTAAGTTTCACCTAAATCAATCTTGTGAAATTCTTGGATTGTCACAAAGAACCTAATTAGATAAAATTCTGAAAGTATTTGACATATAATACTATAGAGGTAGAATTGTACCCATTGTAAAAGTTGAGAAATTTGGTAATCTAATTACCAAGAAAACATCTATAGTAGTATTAGGTAAAAGGCATTTTCTACGCCTTTGGGAACCTAATGTATTTTCAAGTTTTGCATATGGTTAACTATAATATACCATTTGCTAGTTAAGCAGATATCACAGTGATCCTGATTTGGATCTATAGTACGTGGCAAAGAAATTTATAAGGCATCTGCAAATAATTACGAACCATATCTTTCTAGGAGTGGTGAAAATTAACTTTGCTGGTTGTCAGGATAGTAAACAAATCCACTTCAAGTATTGTTTTACTATTATGATAAGTGATAGAAGCGGAGTTTATTTGCATGTTATAAGGCCACATTTCATGTTTTATAAAATATCAGTTTTGGACTTCAGGTCAATACCGCTACAGTCTTGTATTAAAGAAACAATAAGAGTTCAAGTTGGTCTAAAATATGACCGTTACTACCTTGTTGTGAAATAGAGGATATAGAATCAGCTAGTGTCTGATTGAGCACATTGATACCCAACAAAATATTGTTGATCCCATGACTAAGGGTTTGCCGCTAATGTTGTATAGTAAACATGCAAATTTCTCTTTGACAACATTTATTTACTTAGTTAGTGGAAGGTTGTATTTGGCTCGGGTAAAGACAATTTTATTTTGTAATCACAGTTATTATCCTCATTTCCTAGATTTTTCATATTAGTGCACGTGTATGAAAAATTTGTGACTTAAGTATCCAGTTTTGAGACACCGTGTGTCCTTATTGAGACACGGTAGGACCGATGCATGGCATGAATATTATATTGAATAGATGCACATGCAAAATATATGTAACGTTGGAGTTGAGTTTGTTAGTATCAGTGACCATTGGCGTCTTATATCATTGATGATATAATGACGCCCTTGATCCCATATTAGTAGACTCATTGATGATATAATGACGCCCTTGTTCCCATATTAGTAGACTCGAAGGTACTTTAAATTGAATGGTAGAGGTGTTTCTTATAAATATATGGATCAACTTCTGTAGTACACTCAATGATCATTTTGATCTTGAAGTGATCGGAATTAATTATTGTTAGACTAAGTGGGAGAATGTAAGCAAAATTAATAGTCTGACATTAATTTCACACATATCAATAACTATTCATATATTTAAGAGGGGTTGCACCATATTTAATTGATGTACATTACATCATATTAATTCCTAAAGGTGTCTCATGAATAGTCACATATGAAGTGGTGTATTAATTGATGGAACCAACACAACTCTTCATATATAGTGGAACGGCCCCAACCCTCGTCTATATATGTTAAAATTCTGAAATCCATCATCCTGTATGCAGAGAGAAGATTAGAAGGTTGAAGGTCGTCTCCAATCAGAATACGTCCAAAACGTTATAATTTCTCTTGAATAAGTTTAATATCGGGTATGTCTGCTAATTGAATTTATACATTTAGATCCATGAGTTAAATTGTATAAGATATTTCTTACACTACTTACATATATATATATATATATATATATATAGTTGGATATGTGCTACTTTCGAATATTATATCACAGCTCCTTCAGTAAAGAATCACGTTGGCTTGAATTTTGGGAAGGAAAAAAAAAAACTTATATATAGTTTAATAGTATAAAAAAACAATAATAATATATAAAAATCTAGTCCAATGATATAAAATTAAAAAACAAAGAAAAAAACAAAGAATCTTACAGTGAAAAAAAAAAATTAAAAAAAAAAAAAAAAAAATCAAACAATGGATGTTGTTGGAATAGACTTGACAGAAACCCTAATTCTTTATGAACACGGATCTCTCTTTCCAATTTTAGATTCTCAGAAACAAACGAAGAAAAAGGACCAAAGAAAGAGACAAATCAAAGTACAGGTTAGATCAGCGAAAAAGCAAGATATATATGATAGAAAATAAAGTAGTAGTTCTTAGAGCTGGGCTAGCTAGCAATCATATCAGATAAAGCAAACGTATACACTGCACTGAAAAGAAAAGAGATGCCAAACACAGCCCTAGCCACGTTCTCACTCCAACAGACCTTTTATTATCACAAACACAGCTAGAAACTACTACTGCTGCCAAGTCAAAATGGAATCATCAATGTTATCTGTTCCACCCAGCAATTGCAGCAAAAGCAGTCCACACCAGACCAGCTATACATCTCATCACCAAACCTGGCAGGCATATGATATGGTCAGAGTCTCAAACTTCAAAGCCACACCATCTCCCAACACACAATCCCAACCCCATTCCATTACTCACACACTCAATAGACCAAAAAGAAAATTTAGTTAGTGCCATGAGATTTCGCCCTTTGGGAGTCTTAAAGATTAAGATCATATATACGCAATCTCAGACATACGCAATCTTACTTGCGAACTGCCCACCAGATGAATCCATAACTATTTGAAAGATCCTAGTTGCCCTCCATGGATTCATGTGTAGCCGCTGCTAAACTTGCAAAGATAAGAGCTTGAATACCATAAAAGAAAATTTTACACTCCCACCCCCATTCCATTCCCATTCCCACCATTACTTATTTTAACACTCTCCCAATAACCTGAAAAGAAAATTTAGTTAGTGCTCGAGATTTCGCCTTTATGGAGTCTAAAAATTAAGGTCAGACATACGCAATCTTACTTACAAATGGTACGAATGAATCCATATAACTATGTGAAAGATCCTAGTTGCCCTCCATGGATTCATCTGTAATATAAGCCACGGCTAAACTTGCAAAGATAAGAGCTTGAATCCCATTTCTAAATAATTAAAGGAACATGACAGGTAGAGTAGAATACTCCAAATTTGAGGGTCAAAGACTTATTAATCTGAATGAAAGATCCACCAAATTGAATTAGGTCTATGAATCTAAAAAATAGTAAAGAGGTAGGGGCTCAAAAACAGCCAGCAGAGAACAACCTTACCCTCGATCAGTTCACCCTTACAAAACAAATAAGTAAAATACAAATAAACACTAACCCAATCCGAGCATATACTGTAGATGATTATCCACACATGGCACACAGTAGGCATACACACGCATATATGTGTGTGTGTGTGGGTGGGTGTAAGGACCAAGTATCTTCCACCTGTTTTATTTTTGTCCCGCTTTCATGGACAATGTGACATTCTATATACTAATATTCTCTTATAAATTCATATATATATATATATATATATATATATATATAAACAACTCCCAGAGGATCCAAGTTAGTCATGTCCATATGTATTTTGACCAATAGACACCCACCAATTAATGAATATGAAATTTTGAGTTGTTTTAGTACAAAATACAATACACTATTACCACTGTAGAAAATTTGAACAACGAGGCCAAAATCATTCAAGTTAAACAAATTAAGGAAAATTAAAGTACTAAGAAAAAATAGACAAAAAAAAGTAAAGAAAATTGCATAGTGTGTGAGAAATGAGAGAGAACCAGAATACAGGAACAAAACTTGATGATCAGTAGATTCAGTAGGGTGGTAGTGGTTGTGGCTGTCTAGCAGAAGGTGCCCATATCACATCAGAAGGCAAATGACTGCTGTAAACAGACATCCCACAAGATTCCGCCGCAGCCGGCGGATGCCCACCGTCTCCGCCACCGGAATCCCCCGGAGACGACTGCCCACGACCGTTAACGTTCCCTCCAGAAGCCGAGCTCCGCACATCGTCCTCCGCCGGCAACCGGTGAAACGATGGGTTGTTGAACGACGCGGCCACCACGTACACCGTCCCGGCGGCGAGCAGAGACCCCACAACCGACCCTCCGACGATCTGACCCTGCGGCCCGGCCAGCGATATGGTGAACCCATTCGCCACCGGAAGCAGATCTAACGACGTCGTATTGGGGAGCACCGTCGCAGAGAGAGAAAGTATGTCGAAACGGCCATGGAATGTGACTGTAGCTCCGGGAGTGGTCGACGGTTGTTTGAGAGTCACATTCGCTACGGTGCCCGAACCGGTGAGAACACAAAGACCCATATTCCTTTTCCGGCAGAACCGCGACACGGCATCGACCACATCGACGCCGCCGGCGACCTCGAGCACGTGCGGGCTCATGGAAGGCTCGGTGTCGCGGGTTATGATGATGGGTGGTTTGGGTTTGTTCTTGGAACCAGGAGGTCGTCCTCTGGCTCGACGAACAACCTCGATGGTGGCTCCGTCGCCACCTCTTACGGTGGGTGTGATGGCGCCGCCCGGACTACGGCTGTCGTCTTCCTCAGAAGTTTGGGTGAGTTGGAAGTGATTGTGGTGGTGGAAATTGTGTGTCTGGTTGAGTTTGGTGAACATGTTGTTTGGGTGATCCTTTTCTTCTACGCATTCGCCTTTCATCTTCTCTTTCTCTCTCTAAATCGATATATAATCGCATATATCTCTATCAGACAATATATTCAAAGGGTTGGACGGTTGAAAACTTGGGTTTGTTATAAGAGGAGGTATTATTATTTTGTAGAGAGAGAAAGTAGGAGAGAGAAGAGTGAGCTTGAAAGCTAAGTCGGCACCGTTTAGAGAGAGAGAGAAAGGAAAAGTTTTTAGAGAGAGAAAAAGAAGGGAGGGGAGCAGTGTATGGTTAGCTTGAGCTTCACCGCCTTTCTTTTCAGTTTGAAGGGAGGGAGGGTCTCTTAAGCGCCTGCCCACCGAGTGGGACTGACAAAGACTCGTTTGACGTCCTTTTGGCTGGCTCATGGGGATTTGGATATCTCCTTATCTCTTCTTTCTCTCTCTACGCATGTAGATAATACATCTATATCTGTATCTGTATCTATATCTATATCTATACATAGATTTATGTTTCTCTCTCTGTGTCTTTGCAAGTGTTCATGTTTAAACTTGTTCGTGTTTATTTAGATTCAAAATCTCACTAGTATTAATTAACTACATATTAAATAAATAAATTTGATTGAATTAATTAACTACATATTAAATAATTCAGAACTATCTAATAATAAACGACTGTCAGAACTATCTAATGCTTATTTACAGAAATATTTAGTACAGCAAGTGGACTTGTCTGCAGCTTACATGAATTTTTTTTAGATAGTCCAAATTAGGCTACATCTCAATCAATTTTGTCCCTATTAATTATACCAAGAGATGTACGTAGTTTCCAGTAATGGAAAAAAATTTGGACCTCATGTAAAAGATTGGGTCAAATGCAGAAAATACGAATGTACAGAAAATATTATTTAAGTTTTAATTTTGTGTAAATAGATTCCTGACACATTTAAATTATAATTTGACTAAATTATCCTTATATATATATTTTAGCTATTATTTTAAAATGTATTATTTTATGAAAATGACAAAAATGGTCATTTAGCACAAGAGTGGATGTGATACACATTTTAAGCATATTACAGGAGTGTTTTTTGCATTTTATAAACTCTTGTTTCGCATCTTTTGATCTAATTTGATCTTAACGGTTAGATTTAATTGAGAACGCAGTTTTATCGCGATTTGAATAATAAGATGACGGTAGGTGATTTAAATATATATATATATATATATATATATATATTTGTTAAAATTTATTGCAAATTATAAAGTGTAAAAAATTAAATATATATTGTTTATATATAATGAATAAGTATCTTTAATTTAATTTTTTAATTATATATTTAATGAAAATTGAAACTGTATTAAAATTTAACTGGGAATAATTTTTTTTTTATAATTATAAAAGGAACTTAAGTTTTCATTCCATATGATACATTGTACATTAATTTGACAAATGTGACAATAATTTTTTTTCAAGAGAGATAATATATTGTTAGCGGAAATATATATAGAGAAATTTGTTCAAAAAGGTTAGAAAATTCTTAAAAGTGGGTAAAATATAGTTAATATGCACATAATACCCTATATTATGTAATTATTAGTATACACGCCCGCTTAGTTATTTTTGAAAGAGTAAAAAGACAAAACAGTATTACAACATTTCTTTATGTCATATTTCTAATTGATGGCCGAACGATTATAAAAGAATGATTTTTAGCATAGTTTTTCAAATGAAAAGTAAAAATGCTATGTAAAATAAATGTTAGAAGTATTTTATGTAAAAATTTCTTGTGTTTCAATTACAATCATTTATTACGTACAACAGCAGCACTTGAGAGAATCTGAACCTGAGTGATTTTAAGCCTTCACTATCTTTAACGTGTGAACTTTTGTTCATCCAAAAGTCAAAATGGTGTTTGAAAATACATGTGTGTAATGAAAAATCATTAAATAATTTTAAATCATTGGTAATTGGTGGTTCAGTGAAATGAAGAATCTCCCAGTGACTATAAAACGTGATCACATGGATGTAATTAAATATTACAAAAATATTTAATTTTAATTCGAATTAAAATGAACCACCAAATAACAGAGAGTATTTAATACTGCTCTTAATTGTGACATGTCGTTATCCAAACAAATAAATGCCACTCTAGCATAGTTGCATGTAATGCCACCTCATCACAATTGACATGAGAAGAGCGAAATAATTGACATAAATACGAGGAGTATAGCCCAGGCCCATCAGGGGAAACAGACAAAAGTCGGCCCATCCCAAGACAATGATAACCGAAACCCTTTCTTTTTTTTTTCTTTTTTTTTTTTTTTTTTTGGTTAAAAGGTAATGCTTTGCAAAATTTGATGAATTCAAGTGTGATAGATTAAAAGTTTTGAAGATAAATCTATAGAAAAATTATATGTAAAAAATAAATCAATTAAGTCTGGGTTAATTTTATTAAACTCTATAAATACAAATATCATTTAATTAAACAACGGAATATATATAAAAGCGTGGACAAATATATAGTATTACACTGTAGTCATGTACTAAAAAGTCTGTCACATCTTGAGTCAAGTGTTAGGTTAATATTGTTAGATTAATTTGACTTTGAGCTTGATGAACTAAAAAGGTTGGCATAGAGCTTAGATTATATTTGATGTAGACTAATTAAATATTTTCAATATATATATATATATTTTTAAGAACATATTTGGAAACCACTTGTCATGGAAGCAATTACACAATTCCCAGCAAATTGAACCATAAACTCATTTTTGATCTCGGAGTAATGATTCGGGAACAAGAGAAACTAATATATATATATATATATATATATATATACAAAAATATCCTTGTATATACAAATTAATGTTTTTTTTTTCTTTTTTTTTTGACAAAAATAACCTCGTAAAAATGTTACCTCTTTTTAAGGTGTTAGTTGAATATCTAACCGAAATCAAGTTGAAGACTTTCATATTGATAGGCAAGTGGATGAATGAAGTCTATGGTTCAAACTTTTCTGTAATATTTGAATCCAAATATGTCGGTGAATTTGTTAGTCCATTTTCAACGAGGTGGAAGATTTCTTGTGAATGCATGATCTTAATCCTTTTAACGTTCAATTGTGCCATTTTTTTGGTATTTGAATTCAAACATGCTGTGACATTTGTTAGTCCATTTGTAGAGAGACAATCGATGGTCTAGAGAGGTTTTAGATAGAGAGATTAGTCTATTGTGTCTTGATATGTATGTATAACTATAATTGTATATATCAGGGTATTTTTTGTCAAAAATAATAAGAATAATAATAATAATAATAATAATAGTAGGGCAGTCTATAGAAGGGCCTCTACTATTTTCAAAGAACACCTAATTTAATAAATAAATAAAGAGCTAAAATCATAAAAATTCCTATGTTGTTTATAAAAATTATCAACTAACCCCTTAAATTAAATTATTATATTATTTTTTTGATGTTTAAAAAAGTTTATCAAATCACCCATTCTCCATTAGTTTCTTATCTAAAACTAACGGAGCAAATCACAGATATTTTAATTAACTAAATTACTCTTATAATGGCGTAATGACCAAACTCCCTTTCCCACGCCACAAGTATTGCACGTGACCTTCCTACTAATAAGTAATAATGTTGGTTTTGATTCCATTATTGGCAAAACTGGTTAGGGAAAAAGAGAGGGATTGGACGAGATTGGTTTACCAAACCCAAGTTGATTTGTCATTCCGTCCATGGGTTCAAGTTGCCACAATTTTTTTTTTCTTTTGTAGCCCATCATACATGGGCCTATAAAATTTGAGGCCCCAAAATTCTGAGGCCCTAGGCGGTCGTCTTGGGCCAGGGCCGGCCCTGCTAATGTCCCATGCTAATGGCTGATATGCTCAATTCTTAGCCTCTTTACAAATCGAATCGGTGACCATGGCGTCGGTGATTAACCATGGCAATTTCTCATGTGTTTGAGGATGAATGGGTTGATAATGTTGACCCAATTCCGGCTAAGGTGAAGGCACGGTACTACGACGAAGCGAACAGTGCTGGGTCTTGGGTTTTATGACTGGTTTCCGCGATCGGTTCGTAGAATTTATGGGTCTTCGGTTTGGATTTGGGCAGGCTGTGGATAGGGGGGGAAGGTGGTGGTGGTGGTGGTGGTGGTGGTGGTTTATTCTCTGAAATTTATAACTATAATGGTGTTGCCACCACCGATTATGGTGGTTGTGCCTTCAATTTTGCGTGATTTTCAGGTGGAGATGGTGGTGGTTCGTCTCCAAAATACAACCTCCTCTAGGCAAAGGCCATGGACAGATTCAATAATTTTCAACAATTCATTCATCTTCAATGTTGATAATTGATCAGAACCCGAACCAAATCTACGTGTTTTTAGAGATCTGGTCAATTGTTTTCTTTGTTAACTCCCATTTTCTTTGATTAGTGCCGGAACCAAATCGACGTCACCTCATTTAACGGCGAGGGATATCACCGACCTTTCGTCGGAGTCCCTGCTGTTCGGATCTGCTATGGCGTCGATCAGAGACATGACATGAGGGCCGATGATGTGAGGGCTGACAACGATAATGTGAGGGCTGTCCGTGCTGTGTTTTCTAGGATTTTTGGGGAAGATAAAAGGAGGGATTCGACAATGTGAGGGCCGACGAGGGAGATGGACAACGACATCCTTGAAGATGTGTCGGCCAGGCTTGGCGAAGAAACGCCGGAGATCGCCTTGATGGGATTTACCGACGGGGAGCATAGAGGAGTGGACGAGGACAATGTCGGGAGGGGAGAAGAGAGGTGGGTGGTCGGAGGGTGAGAGAGGAAAGACAGAGAAAGTGAAGGTGGAGAGGGTTGGGAGGATGGAGTGAGGGTTGGTGAGACAAAACATGGTTGGTTGGTTGGAGAGAGAGGGAGGGAGACAACTATGGACATTTTCAGACCCTCTGCACAAAGCTAAATTTGAGAGTTGGACTACGTGGCTTTAATTTTAGTATTGTGTGTATTTTTCTTGGTTCACACAAAGGGCATATTTGGCATTTCAAAATTATACAAAAAAGTTTTATAAAATAATATTATACTATTAAGGGCATTATTGTTATTTTATAACAACTTAACGGTTTTGTGGGGAGATTTTTTTGTTAGTTAAGGGAATTTTTTAATAATTAAGAGGGTTATGTGCAGTTTTTGTAAACAAGAGGAGGTTATGTTTTTAACCCATAAATAAATAACATTTGTTGAGATAGATGCCCAATCAAATGGGTGCTAAGTTGCTAATGGTTATAAGTGGATTTGTCCCACATTGAATTTGGATGGAGGTTGAAGTGTTTATAAATGAGTGAGTTTTTGGTTAAATAGGTAAACGTCTACCTGTTACTGTTGGCATCAGAGCTATATCTAATCCTTAATTCGGTGTCACACTAAGCGACCTGCCATCAGCAAACATTGCAATTATTTTTGTTGGGTAAATAATAAAAGATAATTATTTCTTTATAAGAAAATATTTAGATATGATCTTACTGAAAAAAAATAAATAAATAAATAAAAATTTGAAAGAGAGATCAAATTATAATTAATTTTTATTTAAATCAGTCATTTCAGACGTGGAGATACTTCCTCACGTTTGGAAGTAGATTTAAAAGCCCAAAATAGCCAAGTAGTGTATGAGGCTGCTTCACTGAAACATTTTCTGTTTTTGTTTCAGGAGGAAATAAAAATATAATTTTGTTTTTTTATGAGTAAAAAAACAGAAAAAAAAAATGATGTTTATTAAAATTATTTTGTTGTTAAAATTTTGAAAGAAAAATAGAAAACGAGTAACACATGGCAATTTGTTTTTGTTTTGTTTTTTTAGGGGTTCATTGCCCGCACTTTACTAACCCGAGCCTTCTGCGTATATCTTCTATTTTCAGCTTAAGATGCGCCCCCACACTCTTCATTTTGCTTCTCCGAGCGCAGTGTCGCTCTTCCAATAAACCCTTGCAGCAGTATTTGCAAATTAAACCCCTCTCTCTCGCGGATTGAAGGTGAGAACTGATCCCATCAACATTGAATTCTAGGGTTTACAATAGTTTATATATATTGTTTTGGTAATTGTATAATTTCCAGAATTTTACGCTTTGAAATTTAGGGTTCTTTTCAACTTCATGTTCGAGTTTATATCGTTGTTGCATCTCTATTATGTGGAATTTTAATGACATACATACATACACATATATATACACACACGAGTCTTTTCTACTGATTTCTTACACTGTTTATCCTTTGCGTAGCACTAAGTTGAACTGTTCATTGGTCTCTGTAAATTTGGTGCAAAACATTATACACCATAAAAAACTAGAAATTTTCTAATTCAGACTGAGTTACATGTCCTCTGTATATATTCAATCCTTTTATGTTGTGATTATTTTTTAAATTAACTCTTATTATATAGCCCAATCCAATATTTAAGTACTGTATTACCATTGTAATTTAGCTGAATTTTATGTGCATTAAAATCAATATATACCAGTGTCACTAGTTCATATACCTATTTCCACTTATGCACAATACATATTCACAGTTTCACACACATTCCCTTTTATTTGTATTATTATTGTTTTTTCCCCTCAATTGGGTGTTTCATTATTAGGGATTGTAACACAATAATGGTGGACATGAAAATCAATATATACCAGTCTATATATCTATTTCCACTGCTGATACACAATACATATTCACATTTTCCCACACATTTCCTTTTATTTGTATTATTATTGTTTTTTTTTTTTACTCAATTGGGTTTTTCATTATTAGGCTTTGGAACACAATAATGGTGGATTGGTGGTGGTCTTTAGTGGGGGCTGCAGTACCTGCTGTAGTGGCAGGGCAGGCTTTCCGGATGAAAAAGAGGCGAGCTGAGGAGCAGAGGTTGAAGAGTGCGCGAGGGCGCGAGAAAAGCTCTGATGATATATTTGTTTGCGAGAGGGTGTGTACTTCGAAGAGGATGCTCAATAAGGTCGGTGCGTTTTCTAAGGAACCAACTCTTGATACTTGTGTTACCGTCTGTGGCGTTTCTCAGCTTGATGCCTGTGCTGATGCGTGTGCTAGAACTGTTTGTGTTAATCAACACCAGGTGCCCAATTGGAATGATATTTGTCTTAGGAGGTGCCAAAGTGAGTGCCTTAAGCTCTCAAATTCTTCTGCTAATTCTTCATAGTTGCTACTTTGTTTTCTTGAACTCTTTCCAATGACTTTGATGTAATTTTAGTGTTTTTTGGTTGGTGCACCGATTTAAACGGTTGATTTAGAAATTATGTTTGATGTTCTATTTGTCTGGTCAAAATAGTATGGGGGCTATATACATCATCACATCTGGTACTGAAAATGATTCCGTCTTTTCTTTTTGGCTTTTGAATGAATATGTGGTACTCTTCTTGTATTCAAAGTGGTCTTCTTTGGCTCCTTGGAGTTGCTTCTCTTGTTTCGTAGAGATTTTTAATGTACTTGCATAATCAAAGCATCCAAAACAAACTTACAGTGGTCCTTATCTTCTATATTCAGGGTAAATTGTTGGCTACTTTAGAAGTGCTAGATATTATTGAAAATTTAGATAAGATATCATTTAGGATTCAAATCATAGAAATCTTGAGTTGGACCCCAGATTCCTCATTCTTCAATTTGTAATATACTCGGTATATAGCTCATGATTTCTCTTTCCTTCTTTTTTCTTAATTTAAATTTTGAACAGCTGCTACAAGTGAAATTACGCCTTATCAAACATCCACATGTCTTTAGCGGTCCAGGAATTCAATTCTTGTGGTACTCTTGTTAGTTTGGTGTTTGATCCAAGGAGTCACTACTGTCAGAAGAAGTAAATTAATTCAGTCTCTGTGCACAATAACATTCTTGTAAAGAAACTATAGTAATAAATCTTGAAATCCCAAAGAGACTATAGGAATTTTTGCAATTTCCTTGCGTGTTAGTGGGACTGGAAATGATTCGAGTCAAACCGGTTAGATGTTCTGCAAAAGCTCAGCTTGAAAGAATAACGAGGTAAAAAATGGCGTGAGTTTATATGTTTTCTTAACAAGAGATCTCGAGGGAGCTTTAATTCGAGCAAGTCTTACTCTACATTAGAGCAGCTTGGACGTTATAGTTATAGGATGCTCATTATTTTGTCTAGTCAAGTTCATCAAGTTCAAAATTTGATCAAGCTTGACTCATTCATCTCATGGATCCATCTCAAGCAAGCTTTTAGTCAAGTTGATCACAAGCTTATACTGAGTTGCTTGGTTCATCCTCTACACGCTAACAGCCTCGCTTGTCAGTGAAACAAGTTTGCATTCTACCTCATGTTTCAAGGTGCCATTTCTTGGTCGGCGACTCCCTATGGAAAACAGAAGCTTGTAGACATTATTTACTTGCCCACGGGGACTGTAAGGAGTACTCCTGTACTGAAGAGGTGCATTTGTGGTTACAATCACTATTTTATTGTTCATCTCCTTAGCTTCATTCTTTTTAAAAATGTTCATACTGTCTTCTCTCTGTAGGCTATATGACCTACCTGCAAGGTGTTCTTAATCATGTCAAAGGCATCGACAGCTGACTGCTCTATTATTCAGCCATGAAATTGATAATGTAATTTTACCATGCATAGACATTGGTTTTACCACTTCATTGAGCTAGTCACAGTTCTAATGGATGCTCAATCTTCCTACTGCCAAAGTGTTCTTAGCTAATTTTTTTTTTCCCCTTAAATTTATCATTTTGCTCCTTCAAAATTTTCAGAACACTTTCTTTCTTGTTACCAGAAAAAGGTAAAGGGAATGTGTTACCAGTGTGAAGAGAGCTTAAAAGAAGACCACTTCAAAGATTACTTGAATCATCAATATATCAGGTTATGGGCATAGAGCGCCCAACTTCCCGAGCAGGTGTCCCTCTTTCCCCTAGTTTGGGAGAAAAAAATCAATATATCAGGTTACCTGTGACTACTAATGCAGCGCTCAGGATGCGTAAACTGACCTAACATGTTTAAGGGTTGAATAGGGTTTAATTACCACCATAACCCTTCATCCATCTATGCTAATTATAGGACCTTGATTTTGATATCAATAGAACATTATCAGGTTCCTTAAGTTAACCAACAAATAGGAGGAAAATTAAATTATCAGGTTCCTATAAAATATGTTATATATATATATATATAACATAGGGTGTCTCCATCCCCTTGAGCAGGACTTGTTCCTTCACTATAGGGTCAACCCCCCCCCCCCCCCAAACAAATTCCAGTACTAGCTAAATAATAGCCCATGCACTAAAACCTAAGTGACAGAGTGAGAACGGTAAAATTTAAGTCACACAATTTAGAGTGAGAACGATAAAATTTAAGTCACACAATTTACGCGAGTCCGTCTAAATTTCAGTCACACAATTCACCCTAGCTTAAGGGAACAGGCCTTGGTTGGGCTTTAGTTGGGCCAACAACGTTGTAATGCAACTCTACTATGCATAGTGGTTTGGGCCACTTATAATTGGTAACAAACAGCAACCACTGAGACTTAAGAAGATAGATATAGCATTAGCATAAACAATTAGATTACAGAAATTAAAGTAAATCAGTGATTCAGTAGACACCTAAACTCAAGTTGTTGGGTAATATTATATATGCATTTATTTATACATACTTTAATCCTCATCGAAATCTGATGTGGGATAAGTCTCACTTGTAAGTTGTAACACCTAGCTATAACAACCACAACTTAATTTATTAACCAAAAATTAACATCTCTTTAGTTATGATTCTTTGATTTTTTTTTTTTATTTCTTTTTTGAAAAAAATAATATATCTTCTTTTTTTTTAAAAATAAATAAATAAATACATCTTGATTCCTACTTTTAGCTATCCTAGAAAGTAAGCTATGAGCCTTTGAACAATCGGGGTTGCCAAAAAAACGTAACCATATATTAAAGGAATTGCTGTGAGGCAGACACTACCATCGCCGGAAAAGAAAATAAAAAATGGCAATTTTATTTTCTTTTAATTTTAATTTACTTATTTATTTTTGCCTATAATGGCATGATTCAGCTTGTTTATAAGCGCTTACCTTAGTGGAAAATATCATCTATATTTATTCTTCTACTTGTTTATATATATATATATTGGGGTGGGAGTTAGACTAGGTGTGGCGATTGGTAATATATTTATATGAACTGGTACTATCATTTGAATGGTATGGAATCTTTTGAAATAAAATTCAAGAACAAAATTGTGCTGAGTTGGGATCAAATGGACAATACTATAACATATGGTAGTCGTTAGTCGTTATAAGTGATATAGAGAGGCGTGATGTGGGTGGTGTCTAAGTTGTCTTAACACAATGGGTTAGTGTAACAAGGGTTATTTTGTCCCACATCGGAATCGGATGAGAAAGAGATTGGGTATAAATGGATGGGTATGCAGCTTTACCTAACAGTTCGAGCTTTCGAGTAAATGGGCGAGTGCTCACTCGTTACAGTTGGTATCAGAGCCAAACCCAGTTCTTGATCCGGTGCCACGCCAAGCCTCCGGCCCGGAAGGCGTTCGGGTGAGTCCACCCGGGTAGGCAGGGTGGCCCAACCGCAACGCCGGGCGCCAGTAACACAATATAAATGCCATTTTTAGTAAACCATCTTTGCATGGGTAGTTTGGTATTTATATTTAGATGAACATTAATTTTTCACATAATTATAAAATTGGATTTTTTTTTTTGGAAGGTGAATATTTGAATTTTCATGAAAATGCAACTTGAATACCTGAGAGCACATTTGGGGATTTTTTATTCCCCTCCCCCCTCCCAAGTTTTGTAGATTGGAGAAAGAATGTATATAAATTTTGTAGAATGGGTTGCCTGAAAAAGAGGTTGTCTGTTTTTGCCAGGATCCAATTAATCTTTTGTTTTTAAAATTTCTATTATTGAGATGTGACCACATTACCGTACCTTTTCTATTATTGAGTTTGCATGTAATTCACAAAAGTATATAATTGTTGGAGACCCACTATTTTAGAAGGTAAATTGGATACCACTAAATTACAGTAATGGTAGATACTTTAGTTTATTAATTATTAAATTTACTAAAATATTAGTATTATTTTACAATTTATTTGTTTAAGTAAAATTATCAATTATTAAGAGCTCGTTGGTAAAAGAAAGGAAAATAATTCTAAAAAGGCTTTTCCTCAAAACATTTTGAAGCATTTCGATTTCCTTTCCTTGTTAACTTTTCTTTGAAATTTAAAAATAGTCCAATCAAGGAGAATATTTTATAATAATAATAATAATAATAATAATATTTTTTTTTTGCCGACTATGACGGTATTGGACTTCTTAAAATCTGTGCATAATTTACTACTAAGCATATACAATCCATCTATCTCACATGGCACTGGGCAATTATCAAAAATAATAAAAATAAAAATAGTTGGTTCCCAATTTGAGATTTATTATTAGGCTATCCCTACAAAGTTATTGGAGGAGAAGATAAAAGGACCCGTATTTCATTTTTGATTTCTTGAGAAAAATGAAGAGCAAAAGGATAGATATTAGTGTAATAATTTATTATATGATAAATTCTTTTCACTTATGCTGCGTTTGATATGCATGATATATTGGAATAGAATATAAATAGGAATGGAATGTGAATGTGAATGGAATAGAATGGTCATTCTCATTTTATTGTTTGGTTGAAAATATGAAACGCGTAGAAATAGAATGATAATAACCATTCTAATGACAAATAAATTAACAAAATAACATTCTTATATAATTTTTTAAAAAGAAATGACGGCGTAGATGGCGCGCGGTGACGATGGTGGTGGAGGTGGAAGCGGTAGTGGTGTAGGTGGTGGTGTTGGAAGGTAGCGGTGGTGGAAGGTGTCGGTGGTGGTGGTGGTGATGGTAGAAGACAGTAGTGGTGTTAGTGGAAAGTGGTGGCGGTGGAAGGCGTTAATAGTGTTGGTGATGATGGTGGAAGGCAGCAACGGTGACAATGGTGTGGTGGTGGAAGAAGGTGGTAATGGTGGTGGAACGTAATGGAGGTGGCGGTGGTGGTTGAAGGCAGAGACGGTGGTAGAAGTCCGTGGTAATGGTGAAGGTGGGTAGTGTAGCGGTGGTGGAAGGCGGCAACAATAATAGTTGTGGCAGTGGTGGAAGGTAGCGATGGTGGTGATGGCGACGGCATTGGTGACAGTAATGGTGACAATAGTGGTGGTGGTAGCAATGACGGTGGTGGAAGGCAGTGGAGGTAGCGGTTGTTGAAGGTGGTAGTTGTGGAAGGCAGTGGCAATAGTGAAAGTCGATGGTGGTGGTGGTGGTGGTGGTGATGGCGATGGCGATGGAGGAAGACAGTGGAGGTGACGCCGATTTGGTGGTTGAAGGCGACTATGGCAGTAATGGTAGTGAAAGACAA